ATTGCAATGGAAGTATCCAAAGCAAAAGTGTACTCCGTACAAGTTGATTCTACACAAGATATATCTGCAATTGACCAATTCAGCATTGTGGTTCTCTATGATTTAAATGCTACTGTGCATGAACAGCTGCTTTCTATTGTACCAAGCAATGACGGTACTGGCCAAGGCTTGGTCGATCTCTTAAATTTGACGCTACAGCGGCTTGGCTTTAACTTGAAATACTGCCTATCGGACAGCACTGATGGTGCTTCAAGTTGTCATGGCCAGTACAATGGACTGCAACAAAAGATTACAGAAGCTGCAGACCACCATGTACATATTTGGTGTTATGCTCATGTTCTCAACTTAGTTGTTAAGGAGGCAACCAGTTGCTGCATTCCGGCAGTTTTATTTTTTACCCTTTTGCAAAATGTTTCAACATTCATAAAAGTGTCATATAAGCGAATGGCAACATGGATTAAACTTGTTGAAACACAAATTGGAATGGATATGATAAAAAGATTGAAATTGATTGGTGAAACAAGGTGGTCGGGTAAATCAAATGCAGCAACAGCGATATTTGGAACATTTGCTGAGCCAACTTCAACAGTGTTTGTCAATTTAATTTTATGTCTGTCATGAATATGCGAATCAGAAAATTTTGATACTAAGACATGTCATGAAGCTAAGACATTGCTTATGTCATTCCTGAAATTTGACATCATTTTGACTGCCTTTACCTACCTGCGAGTTTTTGAAAAAGTGGGACTTTCAATATACCTGCAAACTCGTATATTAAATGTGTTGGTTGCAGTCAAGATGGTGGAGAAGGCCGTAATTGAATTGAAAAGTCAATCAAGACTTTTTGATGATGTTCATAATAGCGGAAGACACCAACGATGTTAGATGAACATACAGTAGACGAACGTGACGAATCTAAAGCTTTGGAACACTACAAAATTCACACTTACAATGTGGTGATGGATTAGGTAGTCCAAAGTCTTGAGTCACGTTTCACTTCACATCTACAATTATATATGGACATGGCATGTTTTGATACATCAAACTTTGGTGATCTTGCCATTTCGGGAACTCCTGAAAACAGTTTACACAGCATTATCAAATTTTTACCAGATGCCGACGTTGATAAAATAAAGGCCGAATTGTTATCATTTGTCACTAACTATGAGATTTTGAAATTGTCCTTGCCCTTAACAACAACATTGAGAGAGAATGCATATCAAAAGGATGACATAGAAGAACCGCTCTGTTATCAGCATACAAATGGAGCATGAGGATTGTGTCCATCTTGTGTGTTACGAATTCTTGCTGCATATAGACTCAACGACAAAACCTATGACAATTTGTATCATATTTATAAAATAATATGTACTATTTCTGTAACACAAGCCGAATGTGAAAGATCGTTTTATAAGTTAAAGTTAATCAAGACAAGATTGCGTAATTCTATGTCAAATGACCAGTTAGAGTCGTATATGTTGATGTCTGTAAAAAAAAATCTACTTGATAGCCTTGAGTATGATACGATCATTCAAAGATATGCATCTTCGTCCTCTGAATTGAGCAAACTGTTTAAAGAATAGTTATTGCTATACTTTGCACTGTGCAAATTGCACATCACTTCTACTTTTTTAATTCAATATAATTTTATTAACCTGTGATTTAATTGATCCTCTTAAGACTTATTTTTAGAGAGTTGCGGACCGGACAGTCTTTGCGATATATGTATGGCCGGGAGGGCCCTTTAATTATTTTCATGGCCGGTAATATATATACAGCCTGTCCGCCACTGGGTTTACACCTCCTTCATTACCAATGGCGCAAAATATACCCAGAGCTCGCATCGAATCCAAATGCTAAAACCACTCCACCAAGGCTGCTCAATTTTGACCGCATTTTATTTATTATTTTTATTTTTTTTGGTGCCTCAAGATGTTCTTACGGTCTTTTTACAGAGCATGGCGGAAGAGTTTTTAATAGAAAGTTCTCCCCTCCTTCCTAACCGATGTCGCAAAACTATCCCTGAGGTGGGGTTTGAACCACGGATCTATCACTCCGCTATGGCTGCTTCTAATTAATTTAAAAAATTAGCAATGTGGTTTTTCTATGCAAGATTTTTTATCGATATAAACGCCTGAATATTTTTTCCCTACAACTATTTAAATAATCGCATAATCAACAAAAAGAAAAGACATGTTTTTAGGAGGCAGGTGCTTTTTACCATAAAAATAGAAAATAAATTTATTTAGTTTTATCAATACTTAATTATAACTTGTTTAATCTCCACTATTTGGAAATTTTGACAAGTTTAATGTTTAATCAAGTTAAAATTAGAAACAAAAAATGGAATTACTCTATCCATACCGGCATTTGGCTCCAAAAAAACATCGTTTGACGTTACTTGCTGCCAAAAGAAACAAATATGGTAAAGTGCCTTACTGGTGCACATGCTTAGAGTAATTATTTCATTGTTTAATTGGCCTCTGATCTAAGAATTCTAATTTTTAACAAAAGTAAAAAAGTTAAAATATAACAGTTTTTTATTCTATAATTAATGGTTAAAAAAAAACATAATGTTTTTTAATACAGTCTTTTAAACATTTTACTTGCAACTTTGTAAACTTAATAAGTAATAATTTATTGTGTAAATATATACAATTTAAATCATTTTTAATCAAAATAATAGAAATTTTGAGTTTGAGAACATAATATCAAGTACAACAAAAAGTACATTAGTGTTAATTTTGTTCTGCGCCTAATCTATTCAAATTTTGAGTTTAATGATAATTTTAATGTAATCTCTAACTTAGTTAGACGCCTCAGGTTTTCTATAAAAAGTCCAGTTTGAAAGATAAGTGTTATTCAAAACAAGTTCTTTTTATGTTTTCCTTGCATTGCTCGGATTGTTATTTGCAAATGGAGGTTCCATTACCAGTGATAATGTTAGACTCTCAAGAAAACAAATAAACTAACTTTTGTCTAAAAATAGCAATTTCACTATTGGTTTAAATAAAGCAATAAAAGACTTTATAAATAAAAATATGCAATAAGGTATGTTTAATTGGTGTTGAGTATTAAAACCAGTTTAGAGTTGTATGCAAGCTTACTTGTTATGATAACACGCTGTAAAACAAATTTTAAAAAAGAAAAATAATACCTTACAATTTTTAACATTTCTTATCCAGACTAATAATAAAAAAAATCGTTTCTGCATTTTAAAATAATAGCTACAACGTTAAAATAATAGCTACAACGATAATAGCTACAACGTTGAGGTTATACATGTCGAATCAAGCTGCTTAAACATGTTAGCTGATACATATATAATTCCAACTGAAAATTGTCCTGCAAAGAAAAATGCAAAAAGAATGTTGGGTCATTTTCAAATTATTAGCGATCCATCGGAAGAGAGATTTACTGTCAACATTTAGTGTCAACTAAATCTAACTTTGTAATAACTTTAGCTACACCAACGTTTTTTTTTTTTTTCATTAAAAAAACAACCTTGTTTATATAATGTATATGTATATAACACATGTTGGTTCACTAACGTTAGGAATCATTCATAAATTATGCAACGTTAAATTTCGCTAATCGTTAAATTTAACTAATCTGAAGCTATACAAAAAATCAAAATACAAATTTTGACTAGTTTAATGTTTATGTCGCTAAAAAGTGTCATGATTTTTTTGTGAAATAGAATCATCGGCAAACAAAACAGAAAGTAGGTTAAAAGCTCTCGGTAGATAGCTAACATATACTAAAAACAGAAAAGGTCCTAATATATATTCTTGAGAAACTCTACATAAGTAATGCTTAACTAACTACACGACACGCTACCATTTGTTTACCTTTGTAAACAAATTGCATTTAAGAGCCATTTTCCAAAAAATGGGCAATGCTCAAAAGTGATATCTTTCCATCATTCTCAATTTTACATATTGTATTGTTTGTAATATTAAAAAGAAACCTGTAAATTTTTATTTTCAAAATATTTATAATTTCTGAGTTATGGTCGGTCAAACTTTTCTCCGTTTTATACTTGAAAAGTCACTTTTGGGGTTTCATGACTTTTAAACTCAGATTAAAAGCAATGAGATCACTGCACCCTAAGTTTCTTTTCATGTTATGGAAGTATAGGTAAAACTTTAAAAAAAAAAAAAACCCCTGAGGAAAACCCTAAAAAAACTCCTTTGCCTAAAAATCATAAATTGAAATCACACATTTTTGAAACTCGGGGCCTATTTTAAAAACATTTATCTCGGAATGTAAAATGTGCCCGTGGCGTATTTTATCCTTTTTAGAAAGAGTATCCCAGTGTTATTTGAATGGTCTAAAAAAACTGAGAGGATATTTTTTAAAAAAAAAGTTATAAGTCATCATAGTGTCAAAAAATGTTTTAACCAGCGTTCAAATATCAGCCATTATGGAAAATGAGAAAGGTCCTAAGAATGAGGATACAGATTTTATTTTACTATATATTACAATTTATTCGATGCAAAAAAAAAACTTAGGGGGTAATATTGCATTGTTGAAATAACTTTACGTCAAAATGATGCTAAATCTGTTTTTTTTAAATAATTTTACGAAAAAATTACGACTTAAAAACGAAAAAATTACGACTTGAAAACTTTTTTTCTTCTAATAAAGTTTTTTAACTTGATGAATATAATTAATAGCGTACCGTTATGGTGACGTCAAATTGTTTGTTTGTCCGAATATCAATCCCACAGCTACTAGTGTTTTTTAAGAAATTCTTTTGTTTCTGTGCAATGTTTGTCCGAATATCGATCCCAAAGTGTCTTACGTTTCTGGAAAAAATTCTATTTTTAGACCCATAACGGTACGCTATTATTGTTAGGCATTATTTCTTAATAATACAGTTATTCAGTATGTTTTATTGAGCATTTACCTCTGAATTATTCAGAACAGAGAATGAGCATTTTATGCTAAATACACTTTAAAAAAAAAAACACTTAGTTGCAAAATATATGTCAGAGCTAAAGATTGTTGTTGAAAATGCTTGCAAAGTTAATGATGTCAAGTGTGAAGCACTTTAAATGAACAAAAGTTATTCAAGATACAAGATCTGACATTGGATGTCAAAACTTGTCTTTCATAGTAAATCTGAGTGGTTTGTAAAACCTTTGTAATATAATTTTGAAAAAACTCAAACGAATGGTACTGACTTATTTTAGCTATTTTTGTTCCACTCAACTTGTTTTTGCCCTTTATAGTGGCAACACCAACAGCAGAATTTTGCATCCCATGGCCGTAATGTAAAGCAGTATAAATGTCCTCTGCACAAATTAAATTGTTACCAGCATCAAAAAGCTACGAATTAATGACTTTGACTGCCAATGACAGTGCTTCTCTGTCGCACTAATCCTTGCCACGACAAGGTTTTTCGTGGCAAGGATTAGTCATTACCATTGTCAAAAGGTTTTATTATTCTTGCAGTATAAATGATATACTTTATTTTTATTCAGTTTGAAAACAAAACTTTGTAAAAATCAAAGTAAGAAATAGTCTTAGCAGTTGTAAAAAAACTTTGCATAATATTTATTACAACATAAGTTTTTTAGGTTTTAAAGAGACACCATGAGACGGAATGGACAGAAAAGTCACTTATAGAAAACCAAGAGTGCATGTCAATTTCTGATAACGACTATATATGCCCTTACCATAGATTTAACTTTGGTAAGAATTTGTTTTCAACTATATTTCAAAAAAAAAAAAAATTAACTACTAAACCTTCAAAATAAATATTTTAAATTTTGATTTTTGTTAAAATTCAAGGTATTGGTTTGGCTCCTCCAAGAAGATGCTGTCACCCAAAGCATCAATTAAGTGTTGGTAAAAAGTCATCTGCTGAAAGAAGTATTTCAATAAATATGTCAACAAATGTTTCAAAACATTAAAACAAAAGTGTTCCAGTAGGTTCCGTACTTTGTCACGACCACCTAATGTCAGAGTGCATTCTAAATCAAACTAAAACAAGTACTACCGCTAACGAAGAGCTAGCTGAAGACACAACTGATTTTTATTTTGAGCCTGAAGAAATTTTACTTTATGGAGAAAAAGTTAAAGGTGCTACATTTACTGGTAACAATCAATCAGAAGCACTCTACATCAGCCCTTTTCAGTTTAAGATAAAGAACAAAAAGGTATCTGATCTCAGCAAAGGAACAAAAAATAATTTGCGAAGAAAATTTGAAAGACTAGACCAGAATTTGACTCAAATGATGTATATAAAGTATCTCGTGCAGTTTTGACAGCTAAAATGAGTCATACAATTGCATTTTATAATGAAGTTTGCAGAAATGAAAATTACTCTCCTTTATTGGAAAACAGTTTGTGGCGAATACTTCATGCTGTTAAATTATCTCAACAAAAATATTTAGCGGGACTGGATGATATTAGGTATGAATTACAAGTATAGAGAGCTGAGTAATATGTTTGAACGTAGCAAACGATATTAAAAACTAGTTTCCAGTTTAACTGCAGTGCGACATACCCTAATTCTATTTCCCACTCCCCAATATTTGCTAGTGATGTAACCGACAAAAGATTGCAACAGATTTCAATAACACCCAATGATAAGATTTTTTATGAGTGTAAAAATTTAAGCAAATCCTTAGTTGAACTAAAAAGATTAGCATCAAATAATTCAGCCGACGAGTATTTTATTTATGATATTGAAATTGCTGAAAAAGATATCATTGATTATAAAAAACATTTTGGCTTTGGCTTTTTTTTGTTGACAATCACAATGCGTGATTGTCAACAAAAAAAAGCCAAAGTTTTTGCTTTTGAAAGTCTTGATGAGGAATCTGGATTTTGATTGAAAGACTATTGCCAAAAAGTTCTACCATCCGAATTCAGGGAAAGTCAAAAGGAATATTCTTGAAAAAAGGGGATGTCACTGCACTTAGACATTTTCTTTACTTAGAAAAACAACATTTTATAGAAAAATATGTATTTTACAGCTCTTTATAGGTGTGAGCAAAGTTTATTGGAAGCGCTATCAATTGCCCAATTAGATCTTCCAAAGTTTAAGCATGACCATTATAATGTTAGTAAACTCTATGCAAAATCTGACAATGTTTCATCGTATCATGGAAACTTTATAATGGAAGCTCTTTTTATGTTGTGCAAAAATAACCAAATACAGCTTAAGCGCTACGATTATAACAAACCTTGTCGTGGCAAGGATTAGTGCGACAGAGAAGCACTGTCATTGGAAGTCAAAGTCATTGATTAGTAGCTTTTTTGATGCTGGTAACAATTTAAGTTGTGCAGAGGACATTTATACTGCTTTACATTACGGCCATGGGATGCAAAATTCTGCTGTTGGTGTTGCCACTATAAAGGGCAAAAGCAAGTTGAGTGGAACAAAAATAGCTAAAATAAGTCAGTACCATTCGTTTGAGGTTTTTCAAAATTATATTACAATGTGGCGATACTATGCAGTTGGCGATGGAGTTATTCAAGAATATTCTAATGTCAATTTTGATCTGCAAGTGTTTTTAACACAACCATATAGTGATACTGACAAGAAAACACGAGTCTTTAAAGATAATATGAAGGAAAAATATAAAAAAAAGAGAAAGCCGATCAAGGTAAAAATTTTATATTTACTTTCATTAATATATATTTTATTATTATTTTGTAAATATTTGTACAAATGTTTGTACAAATATTTATTTTTCTCTCTCTGTAGATTAAGAAGAATTAGCAAATGAAGAATTTGAAAAAGAATTAATAAGAATTGCCATTGATTTATCATGTGTATGGCATGAAAACGATTAGGTTGTTATTATTATTATGGCCAAATGGTATCCTGGTATTATAAATGAAGTACTTCATTTTTTTTTATCGTTTAAAAAATGTTTTTCATTCAAAAAATAAACATTTTTTTTTTAATTATTTGATCATATCGATTTTTTAAACTATTTTTCATATTAGAAAAATCATTACTCATATTAGGTTCTCAGTGATGGTTACATGGTGAGCTGTATAAAGTATGCTTCTGCAGACAAGAACCTTCTTAAGTGGCCAGCTTTTCCTGATGTTAAGAACAATGACAGTGAAATCATTTGTGGAATTCTACCACCATTACCGTTAAAACAGCACGGAGACTTCATCAATATGCTTATAGCATATTGATGAACAATTTGAAAAAGCACTACAGGAATTTCAAGCAACGATGCATTAAAATCAAAGACATAAGAATAAAGATATGTAAAACTGAACGCAAACAATGATATAACAAGATAAAGACAAAATATAATATATTTATTAACTCCGCTGCGACGTTCGTTTTTTTTAAATATATAAAAAATTTAACTTTTTAAAGTTAGGTTATTTTAACAATGCAATAGTACCCTCTAAGTTTTTTTTTTGCATCAAACAAACTGTGATATGTAGTAAAATAAAATCTGTATCCTCATTCTTAGGACCTTTCTCATTTTCCATAATGGCTGATATTTGAACGCTGGTTAAAACATTTTTTGACGCTTTGATGACTCATAACGTTTTTTTTTTAAAAATATCCTTTTAGTTTTTTTAGAACATTCAAATAACAATGAAATACTCTTTCCAAAAAGGATAAAATACGCCACGGGCACATTTTTCATTCCGAGATAAATGTTTTTAAAAAAAGGCCCCAAATTCAAAAATATGTGATTTCAGCTTATGATTTTTAGACAAAGGAAGGGTTGTCCTCAGGTTTTTTTGTTTGTTTTTGTTTTAAGTTTTATCTATACTTCCATAACATGAAAAGAAACTTAGGGTGCAGTGATCTTATTGCTTTTAATCTGAGTTTAAAAGTCATGAAACCCCAAAAGTGACTTTTCAAGTATAAAACGGAGAAAAGTTTGACCGACCATATCTCATAAATTATAAATATTTTGAAAATAAAAATTTACAGGCTTCTTTTTTACCATATCAGTATTACTGTATAAAAAATTGAGCGCGATCAAAGAATATCACTTTTGAGCTAACAATACTGTTGTCTGGTTTTATCAGAAAAAGGCTCTTAAAAGTTTAGGTAACTTTTTAGCTAAATTATTTCAGTGGATTCGTACCACTCTAACATTTAAAAACAAGTTTGTGATCAATAAACATAGGCATGGAATTACCATTAAGGTAAAAAAAAATTTACTCAGAAAATTTTTGTACTAAGAATAATGTATATGCATGGACATGATTTTTCCAAATTTTGAAAAATATTTTGCGACGTCCAAGAAAGTTATGACCATTTTAGTATTTTCATCAAAATCCTTTAAAAAACTATAATTTTTGGCTGCTTTGTTTTGCAAAAAATGTTATGGACTATTTCAAGTTTTATTATTTTTTTTTTTTAACTTTCATCATCAACATAAAAATCAGACCCATATACGAAGAACAATACAATGTGATCTTAAACATTAGTTACCCAGAGATAATTTTAAAATCTTTCAAAAAAATAGTATAGAATCTCTATAAAAGGAAATTAAGACATTCCCAAAGTATGTTTGTTTGACTGTATTAAATGTTTTAAATCAGAAATAAGATTTTTTCCTTCAATTCCGATTTTGAGATTTGCAAGCAATTTTTCTAGGATTCCAATATTGTTGAGGAATTCCCTAAATTGGTTTCCATTGAATTCTCCTCCATGGATTGGTGACCTGTAAATCCTTAGTTTATTTGACCAGTCATTAGCTTTTAAAGAACGCGAGTTTGTTTTCCCAAGAATAGTTATCAAATGATCAAATAGCCTGTTGTTAATACCTAAAACCATATGCAAATCCATTATTGACAGAGGTAGGTTCATGCAACTTTTGTAGCTTTCTGTCTAGATTTTTTTGAATGAACACTGAGATCATTCTGATAATTATTGGCATTGGATCTAATCATTCCAAGTGTCTTTAATTGTCCTCTCATTTCTTGGTTTCCAAAATCTTTCTTTGAAGTTTAGCACCAAGGATAGGGATGCAGCTGAGACTAATCTAAGAAAAGGATTTGCAAGTTTCATTTCCACAGCTACATTAAAAACAATACTTTCAAGATAAAGCAACTCTAGAATTTGCTTTAAGTTCTCATAAAATTCCTTCACAGACTCAACAATTGCCAAAATCATGAGTTTCACTCCTGAGTCACAAAAGGCTTGAGAAGATTTTCACCTTTTGAATAAAAAAACTTATGCTTTGCTTGTTCTTTTTGCCTATCCAATATATTCATACAAACCTTAAAAAACCCTCCACCTCCATCAATGCCTACTTTGGTCATACAATCATCTGTTGGAAGGTCTCACTGGTCAAGGATGTGTTCAACCAAACCAAAAATGTCATTACAAAAAATAACTGAGCGCTGAGCTTTTCCACTTTGCTCATCACCATTGGAAACATCAAAGTCCATTATTGTAGAATTGTAGAATAAATCAAGTGGTTTGTTAACTCGTTGACTTAATTTTCTCGTTTGTCTCTTTGACTTAATTTTCCAACCAAACATGATTCAATTGATTTGCGACCATTTAAAGTTCTGAAAAAAGTAGCTGCTATGTAGTTCGAATCAGAGAAAGACCTAAATTAGATTGCAATCTACTGATTTCCTCAGCAGAGACAGGATTCAAACGGAAACGTGTTCTTGATTTTCGAGAACTGACACTTTTTGTGACTGTTAAATCCCTCTCTCTTATTGCTAAAATCGCAAATTAGCTGCCAACTGCGCTGGCACACTTTAACTGGCCCACGAGGTAGTAAAATATTTTCGGCTGCTACAGGAGGTTTTCTACTTAAAAAAGGAACAGCTTTAGCTAATGCTTGGCTTATTCCGATTGTGTTTAAATGGGCAAATTCATAAATAAGCAAACAGCAAAATAGATTTAATCTTGTCAGAGTCGTAAGAATAACTTTAGAAAAATGAAAAGAGCCTGGTAGATCATTATTTGTTTTCCCCCCTTTTTCAATCTTAAGAAAAATTAGTTTACACCTAGCACATATAGCAGAAGCTACATGATCTTTATTGGAATCATAGTTCTCAATCAGGTATTTCTTTATAAAACATGGCCGATAACATGGGTTTCAAAATGGGGGGAGGGGGTTACAATAGTCAAATTCTATAAAAAGTCCGCTATATACTAAATTTTTTGAAAAAAATAAAAAAAAAGATTTTTTAGAAAAAAAGTACGGACTTGTAAAAATTTATGGTTTTACAGGGCCGACGACGCCGGGGGGAGGGGGAGGCGTTGTTGTAAAACTATAAATTTTTATTAGTATTGCTTTTCTCTTGAACGGAAACCAGGAAAACTATTTTACTTTAAAGTGTTATCAATTTGAAACATTTGTTCTGAAAATAAAGGAAATATATATTTATCTGTATTTTAGGATTTTGACCAAAACGTTAAAATTGCCATAACTTTCTCGAACGTCACAAAATATTTTTAAAAATTTGTGAAAATCATCTCTATGCATATACATATGACCTTGTACAAAAAATTTTCAGAGGAAATATTTTTTGACCTTGATGGTAATTCCATGCCTATGTGAGTGGTTATATGCGTTTTTTATGCAGGTTATGTTTTAATAAAACTTATGCAATATGCTTGAAATTTCGTTTTTTTAATTTATAGAATTAGTAGTTTTACAAAGTTAAAATTTAGACCGGAGTCGGATTTTTTTAACTATGGCCTTGTTAGCCTTGACTAAAAACGGTCCTATTTTTATTATTTTAAAGCAATTGTAAAAAAGCTTTTGTAAAAAACAATATTGTATGATGTTATTAAAAACATATACTTTAATAATAATTTTTAAAATGAGCCCTTCTTGAGTCATATTTGGCTTTATAACAATACAAAAAAACATTTAAGTTTCACAAATATAAGTGCTCTTTACACTCTAAAAACAATCCGTTAGAAAAAACAACGGATTGATTTATTCCGTTAAATTAACGAAGTAATTCGTTACAAAAAATCACAAAATGAACGAAATAAACTTATTAACGGTTTCTTCGAAATTTCGTCAATTCAACGGATTAAATATATTTAAATCGGTTGAAAAACAACTGAACTTTTTATTAAAAAGGGTTTCCATAAGCAATTATGAAGTGCTTCCTCTGTAGATTATATTTTTAAATTTTTTTTGTTTGATTTAGATTTGTCAATATGTTATAGTTCTTTATTTATAAATGATAAAATTTTAAAAGGATTTTTCATTAAACCACATTTAAATCGTAGATGGATTTTGTTGCAGTATGTTTGTTGCAGTATGTTTAATTTGTAAATAGCTTCACATTTAGTCGAAAAGTGAAATTAAATAGCTTCACATTTAAAAAAAGCGTAATTTATATTGTGTTTATCCATTTGTTTTTTTTATTAAATTTTAGTAGAGAAAGCAAATGGATAAACACAGTTTAAATTACACACACAGTGTGTAATTTAAACTGTGTTTAAACACAGTTTGACACTGTTATTTGTAATTTCGAAGGTTTTTAAACTTATTTTAAACTTTTTATATAAAGCATTTGAATATATTTTTAATTTTTTTTATATGATAAACTATAGAGGGTTAGTTGAACAATCATTTCTACAATATAGACTACCGTAGAACGGGGTGACTTTGTTAGGATTTTGAGCATTTTTGCAAAATAAATCTGGTTCATTACAATTTTTTCTGATTTTTTTTTTCTCGTTATAACATTATACCTTTCCTTTATATAATTCCATTAAGTATTTTTAATTTTTTTTTGTCTTAATATATATATTTTTAATCCAAAATGTTATCAATCTCACACCGTCGTTTGGGGTGACTTTGATAGTCTATTATTTCTTAATGGCTTATTGATTTAACCCTCTTTACAGTGTCGCTAATACTTTCTTTTTGACTTTTACTAAATTAGAACACAAGATATTAATAAACTTATAAGATTTACTGGTAAAATTATAAATTTAGACAACAAGTTTGGTTATCGAATATATCTACAGAATGGACAAAGAAAAAACAAAAATAAATTTGATGTTAATATGCTAAACACAGAAAAATAATATATCAATAACATTGTTATAGTAATTAGCAGTTATAAAATAACACTAACAAAAAAATAATACTAATTGCATATAAATATTAAGTACTTATAATATCCTTTAGTTGTTAACTCAATTCAAAATTAAAAAGATATCAAAAAAAAAAAAAACATATATATGTGGTATATTCCAGTGGTATTATAACTGGAAAATACCACTAGAACATCTAAGTATAGATTTTTAGAAAAAAAAAATTTCAAAAAAATTAAAATCACAAGATTTTTTGGCATTTTTTGGTACGTGT